GTGTTAGTGTTAGAATACGTGGGACACTTGTATCATTCTCACTGTCTCTGGACGCTGCTGTAAGGATGGCTTATTTATTTGAAAGATCTGTTTCTTTTCAGAGAGACTTAATGGCTTTTTCACTGTCTTCCAGGTTCTCATATTAACTAATATCATGCTGGGTATTTATCTCTTTGGATCCTAATTATTTTCTGTTATCCTCAACATGGAATGGAATTCAATTAAATGATCATTTTGGAACGCAGAAAGACAATTACATTTGACGTAATTATTTTGGATCATGTTGGAGACACCAGCCATCCTTAAAACAAAAAAAAAATATGAACACTGTTGGAGGAAGTCTTTGACATATATGAAACTATGCTCTTCATTCAATATATTGCCCCATTTCCGTAAGTTATAAAGTTGTACATGTTGTAGTATATGTGACACAAATTGGTCGCAGATTTTTACCAGTCCCAGCGTTCTTATTCCCGGAACGTGCTCTGTGAGAGCAGATTAGTTAAGACTGTTCCATCTCCATCCTCTTCCCTTTCCCAAAAAACAGTCTATTCTTCTTTGGAGAAGTAAAGCATACGAAAAATGTTTTAGCTATTTTTGTGCGTTTATGAAGTTTAAATAAAACACATTTTTTTTCTTTAATGAATATATACTTTAATGAAGACTGATATCACTGGTGCTGGGTAAGTGCACAAGTCAGGACTTGATTAGTCCTTGCTTGGTAAAATAAACCTCAATAGTGTTATGTCAGTGCTGGTGCGCTTTGTGCAGTCGTTCTTTGAATGCTCCCACATTTTTAGTGGGTGAAATTTTTTTAATGGATTTCATTATTTCTCAGCTCTTCAGCTGTGCTTTTAATACAGCACTTCATCTCACATTTGGATATGCTTGGTTTTGCATCAAGCTATGCATAGTAAAGTTTTAATTGCTTTAGAATAATTCTGTACAAGTTCTGCTTTTTTATTTTTGTTTCAGCAGAACCGCAAGATGCTATTACAGTTTGAAAGGCACAATTCTGTATTCTGTGGCAGCATTTTGTACACTCATGAGACATGCTGCTCCTTGGACTACCCTGAATTTTGTTCCTCTGTCATTTTTTTCCCAAACTTCTGCCTTCTGGGAGTTATCTTTTCCTTCTTCCATTAATTTGGTATGGGCAACAAGATTCTGACTTGCTTGGTGTAGGTAGTCAGTGCAAGTTTTAATTGCAGTTTAAGAACAAACTGCTACTGTCGAGAAAAACTTGAAACCTTTCCTAATAAATACAGTTTTCAGGGCAGTGAGAAACCTGTGAAAAAGAATCAAACTGATCATCTTTGGCTTACTTTTTTTCTTCTTAGTTTACAGTTCTTTGTTAGTGTTTCTTTATTTTTAAAGTGGTTATGTGTGTTATGCTATGATTTACATGGAAGTTAACTTTCTATGTAAATTGAAGTCTAGAGCTGAAGACTGGAAATAGCAGTTACCCTGCATTTAAGATTGATAGCAGACTTCGCTATTTGTGAGGAGTGGACTGCTTTTTTTGAAGAAACTTAAGAACAGAAGGGAAAATAAAAAGGAAGCATCTACTAATGAAAGGTTTTAGTTGGTGATTGGGATTTTTTTTTTTTGAAGGAGGGTTGTCTCAATCAAGGATGTTGGTGAGAGGGTGTACACAAGAAGTTCAGTATCTGACCTAATGAAGTTTGTTACATGACTGTAGAGAAAGCTCATTTGATCTAACAAAATCGTGAGCTTTTGGAAGATGTAAATGGCCCATAGAGGTTTGTTGCAAGCTTACCCAGGCTACTAATCCGCAGAAGCAGGATGAGTTGCTTCTCCCATGGATTGTCTTTATTTCACCTTCTTAGTAATATATTTTGAGCCAATAAAATGCAAACTCCTCAAAGCAAATGGGGATTTTCTTTAATCTAGTAGCTACAGGAGATTGGGTGTTCCTTGATTCATGGGAGAAAGAGTTTTGTAATGATCTAAAATACATATTCCCAGTTATAGCATATAAATGTAGTGTATCTGCTTACTTTTTGCACATCAGTGATAGCGTAAAGCACTTACATTTTATTGCCTGGATTTTTCTGGCAAGTTACAAGATCATTTGGGAACTGTTGTGTTTGTGACTAAATACGAGTGTGTTTTATTTAAAATAAGCATTGAGGTCTTTCTTTCTTAGAATGATGCCTATTCCTTATAATTTCTGAGAAGTGCATTGATAAACTTGGGTCTCATGGGGAGCGTAAACTCATGTCATTCAGGGCTTGATACTCTGGAAAATTACTCCTGCTGTTAGCCTACATGTGCGTTGGTTTTCATACTTCCACAAGCAAGAGATAAATGTGTCCGAGAAGCTCTAAATTCTTTTGCACTTTAATGTTCCTTATTTGTCAGAAGAGTTTGGGTTTTTCTCCCCACTGTTAGTGACCATTCTACAGATTGAAACAACTTTGCTTACTGTAGTCTTAAAAACCTGCATTAGTGAATTAAATGAGTCTTTAAACTCATAATGGAGGTTTTGTTTAAACTAGTATGAGACTGGACTACCAGTGCAGAGAGCTGTCCCCATGGCTATAGTTGCATGTTTCTGTTGCATCCCTTGTTTCTCAACATCAGCAGTCAGCAACCAGTGCATTGCTGAAAACTAGTTCATTACCATCATGACATACTTTAGGCTACTGACATGGTGATGATGAGAAGAAACCATTGCAAAGGACTGAGAGAGCCATAATGTCCATTTCACCAGCAACATGATCTTAAACTGATTGAAGAAATCAAAATGTGAAGCTACTCCTAAGTTTTTTTTGGTTTTTTTTTATTTTTTTTTTTTTTAGCCAAGTCATATTTGGTATACGTATGGTTAAGCATTTTATACGTACTCACACAAGAATAAACAGTTATTTCCTTCCACTTTTTCAGCCTGAAACTGTGCTGTGGTTCTGGTAGCAATAATGACTTGATCTGTCTTTAAATTTAAAATTTCAGTCTGTGTTCTAACTTGTTTCTGCTGATAGCTGGTCTCTATTAGCTAGATGCCTGCATGGTAACTTGAGTAATGTGTCTCCAGCTTGTGGCAGGATGAAAACAAAAGTTTCTATACCTCCCTTGAAAAATAGGTCTGACAGGATATCTAAGAATAACAAATAGTTATTTGCAGAGACCTAGGAGATCTCCTTTTTATCTTTGCAGAATGTTTTTTCAGCTTTTCATTTCAGGTGCTATGTGAAGTGTACTGCGATAGCTTACAGGGGAATTTAAGTTTTGTCATAAAGTGTACTCTGTTTTGACAGGTCTTTCAGCCTAACCTGGGACTGAACTCCTCCTTAATCTCCAGCTATTTGTACTGACTTGCTGAGAATGAGAACAAGATTAATCAATAGCATGTAGTTTGGTGCTTGAACACTCAAGACAATGCTACCTTTATTGTTTTTTTTTTTCTTGTATAGGAAATCAAAGGCAAATATAGGAGTTACAAAACAGATGCTCTTAAATGAATGTTCTACAATGTCAACTAAACAACAATGAAAGAGAATACTTATCTGTGAATTATTCAGACCATTGAAGAAATTCTCCTTTTTTTTCTATTAAAAACATTGTGTTGATAATACAAGTGGAAGGTCTCCTGGGGGGGAGGGGGTAGTCCCATAAATCACTGTATGGAAATGCCTTGAAATAAGGCTAGATTGTACAAAGTAACTTGTTAAGCTTAAATTCCTTAGTTGTCAGACCTCTTTGCAGAGGTCTGGGTAGCAAACAGACTGGAAGAATTAGAACTTAATAAAGGGAGTATAATTGTCTTACAGTATAATGCTCTATGGAGAGGCATGTGAAGTTACATAAGGTTATTTGACTGCATCTGAGTGACCAAAGGTCATTATGACCTTTGAGGCTCTGATAATAGGATGACTGGGATGGGTAGCTCTTTCTTGCGTAACGAGAAACATGCTGGTCATATGCTTTAAGTAAAAACTTTAATTTACTGTAAGGAAATAAGTGTGCTCAGAATTGAATCTGTGTTAAAATTTTGTTCTCTTTGAAGGCTACAGCTTGCAGGAGCTGATTGCAGGCTAGTACTGTTGTCTTTAGCCAGTTCATTTCTGTTGATATTCTTGAGTCTGTGTTGGATTCTTTTTTTTTTAGTCCTAATTTCCATGCCCACCCTCCTTGGAAAAGTCTTCAGAACGCTGTCTTAAACCTCTTCATTTGTCTCTTTAATTAAATATAGAAATGGCTTAACAAGAACTATACTGTTTGCGAATTAGCAAACCCAGAGCAGGATTGGTGGCAGCCCATCAAATCACTAGCTTGTAATATAAAAGCCTTTTTTACACTTTCATTACAGTTACAAAATTTAAATATAATATCCTTGGACGTATATAAACTTGTGCCAGGGTAAGGATAGTCAAAAATAGTAATGTGCATATATTATTGATTATTGATCACAGAAACAGACATGGTAATGTCAGTCTGAATTTACTAAAATGGGAAGACTTTCAGGAAGAACTAAATATAGCATCAGGAGGGAATCCCTACCATTCTTTACTTGCAGTGGTTTGAAAAGGATTTTCAGTGTTTCCTGACCTATGGTTGTAACATTGTATTCAAGTGAGTCCTGTGTTGACTTGGTAAATCTGCTTGGTTTGTAACGTTATTTTTTCTTAGTTTTTCTACTCAGCTTCTGCAGCCTGGCTGTCTTAATAGATGGAAACAGTACATACAGAGATTGATTTGATATTTCATTTGGCATTTCCCATATTATAATATTTACCTTTTCTTTTGTTACCTAAATTTCCATCCCATATTTAAAATCTGGACTACAGGAACATCCTATTTATAATATTGTGTTTTGAAATTAGATATTTTGTTAATATTCATATTCTTTCTTATTCGTCACATCAAAATACTTGAAGTACAGAACAATAATGATACAATGTGTGAATACAAAAAGTTATTAATGAAAATGGTGTGGTTTCCAGTTTGATGCAGTTTATTTTTGTGTTACACTGTAGGTTTGTCAAATGGTTTTGGAGATGGAAGTAAAGAGAGAGCATTAGATGATACTCCGGGAAGAAAAGTTGAACCTCGTCGCCGCTGTGCATCAGAATCTAGTATTTCATCAAGTAACAGTCTTTTGTGTAACTCAAGGTAAAACTGTAAATCTGAAATATAAATTTGAGACTGAATGTATTGGGTTTCTATGCTTGCGACCCACACTGGAGGACTGCATAAATTTCAGAAAAAAAGTACATTTCAGTTTTCTCAGTTGTGTGTCAAAGCTGAGACAGCTTTCAGGATTGCTAGTGATCTTCTTTGAATTCAGGTTGTTTCAGATCCAGACAGTTACACTTTATATTTGACTATGCTTCTCTTACTCTGTATAGATATGTACACATTTGTGTGTATATATCTTGTTTTAATTACTTTTCTAATCCTGAATGCTAAAAAGAGGTGTATTTGTTTTGGTGAGGGGAGGAGAGGCTCAATATCCAAAGCAGAGTCTTGTACACAGGGAAATTAGATTTAGTAGCCATGGAACTGTAGATTATCAGTCTGTGGTTTGGATTACTAGCTAGTAGTGCAGTGATGATTGTACCTGTGTACCAACTATTGACCTTCTTTTTGTGAAATCTGTTGTTAAAGATAGGACTGTCAGAATGGTCATGTCTGCCACCGTTGATAAATATTTCTCCATCACCAATGGTGCACATCTTCCAAAAGCACACTAATCTCTGGGTGAAAAGGTAGCTGTCTCTAGTCCTGGGCTATGAGGATGGGGTATACAGGAGTATAGGGTAAATCTGTTAGAGAAAAAAAGAAGGCTTATTCATGTTTGAGATTTGGTATTAAACTGCTTAAGGGAATGATGTTAATGCACTCATATCAAACAAGCTTTCAGAAACAAAGAGAATTTAATATTGCACCTCTTGTAAATGTGATTTATTGAGGATTTGATCTAGAATAGTTGCTGTTCTATGATCTCTTAAAAGAAAACTCAAGCGTTCAGAGAACAAATTTCCCTTTTTGTGTATAGACATTCTACAATTGAAAGACTTGAATTTGTCGTGAAAAATGAAAGAAAAAATAATTGTTTCCTGTGTAGTGGCACTGTTAGAGCAGAGGGAACATGTTTTCATTTGGCCAGTATCTGCTGTAACACTGGAGACAAAGCGGCTTCTCTCATTTGTGCATGTATAACCTGTACAGCCGTTGAGGTGCAGTTGCATACTATTGGTCTTTTGCTGATATCCAGGCAATTCTGTGTGTGAAAATAATCTAGGTTTTTGGCCTTTATGTTTTTTTTGTTTGTTACATAAAATACTAGAGCTTCCTGCTCTGATTTTACTGTGCACTGATGAATTGTAAGTTATTTTTCAAAGTCTTGATTTATAGTGAACAATGTTAATTATCAAGTAATGGTTTTAATATTAATACTTCCCTAGTTTCAGCCTACCGAAGTGTGGTAAAGGTAAACCTGCACTTGTTCGAAGACACACACTGGAAGACCGAAGTGAATTGATATCATGCATTGAAAATGGAAACTATGCCAAAGCAGCAAGAATTGCAGCTGGTAACTATAAATAATTTTTTTCTTAATAATATTGTATAACTATGATTTTGTCCATTTATTTGACAGATTCTGGCATTCGTATTTTTGCTGCTGAAATGCATTAAGCATTCTGCAAGTGGTGTTGATAGCATTGCAGAAACTAGTGGTTTCTGCTTTTGGTTCTTTAAAGACTTTGAAGATAAAAGAATAGTACCTGATTTTGTTGGTTGTTGGTTTTTTTTTATTATTTGATAAGTGGTGTTTAAAGTAATCAAGCTACTCTAGTAATACAAGCAAAACTTGGCCTGAAATACTATTTTCGGTTCTGTCACTATTTGTTGGGATTTTTGGTTAAAGGTTTACTCCTCATATACTTTTCTGCATAAGTGTGTTGACAGTTGGGTAAGACATGGCCTGCTTTGATTCAGGAAAAAATTGAAATTGGAAAGAAGTGGAAATTTCTAGGAATGTAGAGGATAAGTTACCCAATTTTAGAGAAGTAACTATGTTCTGTTAAGTTTTCCACCTGTTTCAACATTTTAATTGCATTACAAGATTTAAGAAGGTCATCTCTTTGTAAGTAGAACTGTGGTTGTATCATGTATTGCTCGCACTCTGAAGCTAGGCATCAGCTTTGCGGTGTTTAGCAGGTCTGACTTTAGTTTCTGACCTTACAACTCTTCTCCTCCTCGTCCTGGGTGTTCTTTGTCCAGGACTCTTTCATGTCTTTCTAGTGTTTTTATATGATTCTGTTTGCTTTAGTCTGTTCTTTCCTCCCCATCTGATCAGTTTTGTTTTTCTTTCTTGCAGCTAATCTGTTTTCAGCTACTGCTTCATTACTCTCAGGTTTAGTATCTTTATTGTCTGTACGGTAACCACTTCTACAGGACGTAACCTTTTCTGTTTGCCTTTCTGGCTCTGTCCTGGGTATTCTTGTATTTAACATTTTCCACTTAGAATTCCTGGACCTGTTTTTTTCAGAACTGTCTTTGATCTCTCTTAATTCTGTCTCTGTTCTCAGATACATTCTACAGCTGCCTAAAAGGAGGAGCAATGACATTTAACAGCATTATTATATATATTACTATATATTCTGTCTAATTTGAGCTCTTTTGGCTGCTTTCTGCACCCTGTTACCTCGGCAGATCAAGAAGAGGACATAAGTAGGAGTGAAGTGAAAACTCCTGCTTACATTCTGTGCATAACTGGAATTTTGCCATGATTTACTTTTATTAGTAAAATCCCAGATTTTACAAAGAAACTTAAATAAAGAGTTGTTCATTCTTGGCAAAATGTCTTACAGTTCTGTTTGACAGTGTGTAGATATGCTTTAGAAACAGAGGCTGTGCTTACAGTTAAGCTATATTTAGGTTCAAGGAATATCTTGTTTCTATTTACAAGGTGCTGTCTCAGAACCTATAGTGTGGTATGTTGTAATACTGCAGTTATAATGGAATGCTGTTTTGCATTGATTAATGAATGTAATCATTGTAATGTGCACACACACTGAGATATGTTAGTTCAAACGCAGACAATGTTAGAAGAGTGCTATTGAAATCGCAAAGCCAAGTGCACAAGGTAGGGCATGCTGTTTTCTGTGACACTGCTGCTGTGTTCAGTGGTTTTGACTTGTGAGACTGAGGTGTGCTTTAGAACCAGGTCCACTCAGTGTACTGGACAAGTTAAGACTATTATGAAAAAATATGGTCTGTATTGAAATATGAAGATAACAGTGAGATATAAATACAGAGTATGAATTCAAGTTTCAAAAGTGACTCAAAATTCTGTCCAAATTTTGCGTTTTGGACTTGTAGGCTTAATACGGTTTTCTTGGTTTTAAAATAGAATTATCTGTATTTAATAGTTTGTTATCTTTGGTTGAGCACTGGAAGATAAATAGACACATGCTATGAGTGGTCTTAATTAATAGCTGCTGTATACAGGGATGTGCTGAGTTTTGTAGGTCTTGGGTTCCTTTATAGGGTCAGGAAGTTGCTGTGCTGAAGTTGCCTGATCCTTTTGCCTGGCTGTTACTTGTTCCCTCGTCCAAGAATCTTACCTAGCTCTCCTGTTCCCAGGCATTCTTATGCTTTTTGTCTCGGTTTTCAATTATTTGGCTCCATCTTCATTCAGCCAGTTGATTCACCTTCTTGTCAGATTTCTTTTCACCTCAGTGAACCTTAGTGATGGTATTTTTTCCAGCTGTGTCTCGATGCTGTCTTTCCCTTCAGTCACATCAGACTGGTGAGCGTGAGTGGGCAGGGGATAGGCTGTAGGGGGACATTTTGCTGCATTTGGCTCAAATAGCTTTCACCTCTGCAAGCTCTTAGTTTCTGCAGGTAACATTGACAGCAGAGAGGACACTTTATCCAGCCCAGAGTTACACATTAAAGGGAAGGTCTCAATTGATCATTTGTGCTAAAGACTAATCTTAAAGAATAAACTTAAATATGCTCACTGTCAGTGGATTTCTCTGCAGAGTTAGGTGTTAGTTTCCTCTATGTGATTTTTAAAAACAAAACAAAACAAAACAAAAACCCCACCCGCAACGCTGTGCACTATTATTAATCTGGTCATCTTTCAGTAAAATAGACTTCTCTGTTTGTGGCTGGAGTTTCTGGTTTAAAGTAAAACTGGCCTATGAAGAACTCGCATTCCTCGCTGAAAGCTATGCGGATACTGGGTTTGAAGCTTTTAGCTCTGTTTTTGAAGACATAACTGCATTAAAGTTTTGAGGCTTGTGACGCTGGCACCTACTGGGTGTTTTGCTCAACTTCCCACAAAAAATGAAACACATTGACTCTATTATGAAAATGTTACTGAAAAAAACACTAGTTGTTTTAAAAATATTGTAAGAAGTAAAAAGTCCGTAAGGGGAGAAAAAGTATAGTGAGACGTCCTTATCTTTGCTCTAAACTATGTAGGATCTTTAAGTCTGGTTTGTGGTATTTTGAAACTGTTGTTTTTCAGCTGGTGGGAGTACTGTTACTGAAAATCTTTATCAGTTCGGTGTCCTGACTGCTAACTTAATTGTCTCTCATAGCTTGAGGAAATAAAGGGCTGTTATGTTGTAACAGAAAACTGGTAACCATATGTGCTAGTGTAGTAACCTTCTATCTCCATATGGAATAAATTCTGACTAGGAAAAATTCTGAGATTCTTCTCTACTGTGTATACACCTGAGAAGTCTGAGGGAATCTGGCTGCATGTGTCCTGTCAACGTGTGTATGACCTTCTACTCAGCATTATAAAATACCATTTTCTTTCTTTCATGTCAACTCTGCAGCTGAGAATAATGTAGGTTTCTTTTCTTGTTAGCTGCCCTGAAAAGGAGGACTTGTACTGTTTTTATGTACCAGATACAGTTCTGTATATATATTTCAGAATAGTCTGGGTATGAAGGATATGTTAATCTAAACCTTCATGACTCTAAGTGGCCTGTGAATACTTAACATACGTTAGTAGAGCAGAGAAAGAAGTTGCTTAAATTGCTTTTTCTGTTGTGTTAGCAATTGCTCTGATTGTTTTCTTTGGAGATACTACCAAAATGGCTCATCTGGATTTAACATGTCTTTCCATAATATCCAGTTTTATGTATTCAGCTATGCTTTTAGAAGTGTAAGAATGCCTGTTTATATTGTATTTGTTGTATTATATAAATCTAAAGAATGTTATTATGGCTTTTAATGAGAAAGTGAAGAACGCCCTAGAATGACCTCTTTAAAAATAGATAGAAAGGAGCAAATAAATAAACTAGTAAATAGATTTAGTAACTATTTTTCAGAGGTTGTGTGGTTCAGTAAGAAATAATGTAAATAAGACAAATTATTTTCATGGTTTTGTATAATGGAATCCACTAACTAAAGATCTCTGTAAAGCCTGCTGGGATTGATGGCAAATATCCCTGTTTTCTTTAGCAGACCTGTTCAAGGTCTTAAAGACACTGGAAAAATTTAATTTGTTTCTCATTCTTCTATGATACTCACACCTATAATAGAACCTATAACATCTTTTGGCTTCAAAAACATCTAATGTCTTAATTATGCTGTGGTGGCAAGTTATTATGAACTATTGCATTTGATAATTGATGTTACATAGCTATGAATCTCTTAAGTTAGAGTTCCAAACAAGTAAATTCTTGAAAAGTTGATACAGTTGTAGATAGAGAGCAGCCCTGCGGAGAAGGACTCAGGGGTATTGGTGGATGAAAAACTGGACATGAGCCAGCGATGTGTGCTTGCAGCCCAGGTAGCTAGTTGCATCAGAAGTGTGGCCAGCAGGTCAAAGGAGGGGAGATTCTCCCCATCTACTCTGCTCTGGTGAGACCTCACCTGCAGTGCTGTGTTCAACTCTGGGGTCCCTAGCATAAGAAAGACATGGACATGCTTGAGCAGGTCCAGAGGAGGGTGTCCTGTCCCACTTGGTGGGTTTAGGCATAGGTGAATCCTCCCTTTTAAAAGGGGTTTTCCTCTGCACGGCAGAGACCATTTGCTCAGCTAAAGGTAGTGAGTTAATAACCTTCTTTGGTCAGTAGATTGGCAGCAATAACGCACTTTACTATTATCCAATCTACGAAATATTACTAATAATATTTCACAGATCAGATAAAGGTGTGGCTTTCCCTAATTTTATCTAATAATATGGAGAGAGATAAAAAGAGTGTGAAAAAGAGAAAGAAAGAAAGAAGGAAAGAAAGAGAGAAAGAAATATCACCACTTCTGGGGTTCAGCGACCTCTCACAGGTCCAGTCTGATCTTTGGTTCTTTGGTGGTGGGTGCACACCCGTGTCTGGGTTATTGGTATTCTTATGGTCCCTGCCATTAATATTCATGAGTCCTGTTCATGTTACCCCTCTTCTCGATTTTCGGGCTAATTAGGACACAGGCACAGTATTCACTTGTAGATAAGGGAGGGGACCTCCCCAGGTCCAGTAACCACCCCTCTTCTGCAGGGTTTGTTAGTTTGGATAGGGGAGGTTGGGTAGCCACTCACTGAAGCCCCCTTTGTTGATCTCCCCATCTAAAGTTTCTGAAGGGAGAACACTGCTCCACCCTCCTATCTCTGAGGAGGGAGCACCGCTCCACCTCCTCAGGGCTTGTTCCCTACTTGGAGCAGGCTGTACTGCAAAGCAGGCTGGTTTTAGGACTAATACGTGAAACTTGCACTGTAAAACAGGTTTGTTCAAGACACATACATAAAATCTGCAAAACAGGTTGTTTAAGGTAAAAAAATCAGACTGTCCTTCACAGAGGGCCGCAAAGATCAGGGGTTGGAGCACCTCTTCTGTGAGGACAGGCTGAGAGAGTTGGCATTGTTCAGACTGGAGAAGTGAAGGCTCTGGGGAGACCTTAGAGCGACCTTCCAGTACTTAAACGGGGCCTACAGGAAAGGCGGGGAGGGACTCTTTGTTAGGGGTTGTAGTGAAGGGGTAATGGTTTCAAACTGAAAGAGGGGAGATTTAGATTACATTTAAGGAAGGAATTCTTTACTGTGAGGGTGGTGAGACACTGGAACAGGTTGCCCAGAGAAGCTGTGGCTGCCCCCTCCCTGGCAGTGTTCAAGTCCAGGTTGGATGGGGCTTTGAGCAACCTGGTCTAGTGGGAGGTGTCCCTGCCCATGGGAGGTTTGGGAGCTGGATGATCTTTAAGGTCCCTTCAGACCCAAACCATTCTATGATTCTGTGAAAATATCATTCAATGAATTAGCCTATGGCTGAAAATTGACCTAGAATATATTGTGGAGAATGATTGCCCTTTTTTTTGATCACCTTAAACACTTTTTCCTTGCTATTTCTGCTCTTATGAGGTCTGAAACCACTTTTTTCCCAGTACTTTTTTGTGATGTTGAGGTAGAATGCATATCTGCATGCCACGTTTCATTATAAATAAACATTACCCATTTTAAATGGGAGCACATTGGGAAGAATTGAGGATTAAGTTGTATTTTGGCAAGTAGAGAGCTACTGCTATCAAGTATTGCCTTACAACTAAAAAAAAAGTACGACTGCAATCTTTGAACTGTATTTTGGTACTACATTTCCACATACAAGAAGTGCTGCCTTGTCTTTACAGCTTTTGAACTTTCCTTACCACCTTCCTACTTTTTCTACCCCCAGTTCCATCTTGAGGAGATAACTCACTGTCTTCTGCCCAGCCTCTTGACCGTGTTCCTGTGTGTCTAGGGAGCCAGTTGCAGTTCTGGTTGACTGAAAGGCTTAAACCTGTATCATACTTCATTCCAGTGGTGAGAAACAGAGAAGAAAACAGTAAAATAAACTCAGTTTTCTGTTATGCTACCTCCTAAGAAGTTAAAAAAAACCCCTCCTGCAGCTGCTTCCTTGAATCCTGTTTGTCTTTTTGAACTTTGCTGCGGGAAAGGGCTGGGCAGAGACACCAAGAGGACTGATTAAAAATAAATAAATAAATAGAAATTAAAATGCAGATTAGAACTTATACATAAGAATAGAAAGGTATACCACACAAGCATTGTAAGTTATCAGGTCTAATCCTGCTATGGATATCCAGCACTTCGGAAATATACTATGCAAGCTGCATCTTCAATACCATCATCTCTTTGACAGGATTCTTGTCATAGTTTCAAAAGATGGTGGTTATTTGGAGTACAGTAATTCTATGTTTTCTTTTGAGCTTTTTCAAAGGGAAATGATTACTAAGAATTTGGCGAACACTTGCTTTCTGAGAATTAAGGTGTTTTAAGATACGCTGTTTCTAGAAGTGTCTAAAAACTTGTTCCTTATGAGTAGGCTTGGTTTAAACTACTAGTATCATTTAAAGAGCTGTTAGGAACATGACCTGCATTTTATTGGTATGTGCCTGAAAGGTGGTATTGGTATTTGGATTCTAATGATCCTGAGATATTGATGAGGAAACAACTGCAGAAGATTTGTCTGAGGTTTCATTCTTTAACATTTTAATTTTATATTTAATTATTGTTTGTTCTTAGAAGTTGGGCATAGCAGTATGTGGATTTCAACGGATGCTGCAACATCTGTTCTTGAGCCACTAAAAGTAGTATGGGCCAAATGTAGTGGATATCCCTCTTACCCAGCTCTGGTAAGTACACAGCTTTCCATCAGTACGCTAGTGATACTGTTTCTGGTCTGAAAATATCATTGCATGAGCTTAAGGTAACTGATAAAATTCCCATTCAGGTTGAATAAAGGTGGATTATTCTGCCCTCTTTACCATGCATCCAGTTTGTAAAATTACTGCAATATGAGATGTTGAGTCAATTTCTACTACCCTACCCTTTTGAGATGTGCAATACCTGTTGTGGTTTAACCCCAGCCAGCAACTAAGCACCACACAGCCGCTTGCTCATGCCCCCCCGCCCCGCCCCCCAGTGGGATGGAGGTGAGGATTGGAAGGCTAAAGTCAGAGAACTCATGAGTTGAGATAAAGACAGTTTAATAGGTAAAGCAGAAGCCGTGTGCACAAGCGAAACAAAGCAAGGAATCCATTCACCACTTCCCGTGGGCAGGCAGGTGTTCAGCCATCCCCAGGAAAGCAGGGCTCCATCACATGTAATGGTTACTTGGGAAGACAAACGCCATCACTCTGAACGTGTCCCCCCCGTCTTGCTTCTTCCCCCAGATTTATATGCTGAGCATGACGTCACATGGTATGGAATATTGCTTTGGTCAGTGGTGGTTTACTGTCACAGCTGTGTCCCCTCCCAACTCCTTGTGCACCCCCAGCCCCCTTGCTGGTGGGGTGGTGGGAGAGGCAGGAAAGGCCTTGGCTCTATGTAAGCACTGCTCAGCAATAGCTAAAACATCCCTGTGTTATCAGCACTGTTTTCAGCACAAATCCAAAACATAGCCCCATATCACCTGCTATAAGGAAAACTAACTCTATCCCGGCCAAAACAAGCACACCTGTCGCAGTAGTCTTTGTTTCTGCAATATATGTTGTTTAAAGGATCAACTGAATAAGCCTTTGGCAGACATCTTGTTAGTGTCGGAACTGTAAGATATTTTCTGATGCAAAATGAGTGCAAAAAATACTCTGATTCTGCAGTTCATTAAAGAAACAAAAAAAATTTGTTGTGAATGGTGTACTGGAAACTTAAGGTGGTTTTGCCCATGTTATTTTAGGAGAAATACACACAGTTGTACTTAAATCAAAGCTTGCAGAGAAAGTGTTGTTGATAAACTGTTTGACTCAGGCATTTGAGGTTATAGAAACAGTTCATACACTATGGCTTGATTTATATAATAGACTGGACAATCAGGACATGTAATCATACAGAGTCAGGTTAAAACCTGTGGAGGTGAGATTAAGCACTTGAGTTTAAGTACTCTCAGTGAGTGACTTGAATACTGTTGGGTCAGATGCTGAAAATTTGATAATGTGATTATCTCTTGAATGGTATTAGCACTTTACTGTTAGATTTAAGCTGATTGTGACCAAAGGGCTCCCTTTCTTTTCTGCACACTCCTTTATGTCAGCACTGATGCTTCTCTAAGCATGTGGTGAGTTGACTGAGAAATTAAGATCGATGCCAGTGTGGATGCTACAAAAACAGCAGGTTTTTGTTAGGGTAGTGTTTGTAGAGTTTTTCCATCAGCCTTTAACAGCATCTTCCCCCTCTCCTCCAACCTTTGTTTAGAAAGAATTTGCAACTGTAACTGCATGATTTCCTGAAAACTGAGTCATTAAATTGCATATGCAAGATATTTGAAAGTGACTTCTGGTTTCTTTTTTGTGTGTTTGGGGATTTTTTGCTTGTTTAGAGGTTTTGCTCCAGATTTTGAGTATGGGGCTTGTATTTTTCAGAAACAAATATTTATACTTTACCATAGGTTGTTTCTTTAAGGTATCTGAAATTCAAAACCAAAGGTCCGTTATGGCTTTTAGAAATCCTCGTTCAGCTTTCTCATTCTGAAACCTGCTTGTCAGTCTGCAAAGTTGTATTAAGTGAGATTCAGATGTGACTTTAAGAACTGATATGGGTAAAAAATGCTCTAGAGATAGGTGGGGTTTTTTCAGTTAAACTGTGCCTCCGCTATAGCTGTTCAGCTTATGTCAAGAAGTTATGTGTGTAACACGAAGCCAATTTATATGCAGTAGCTGTTTTAACTTTAATTTTAATACCTCATTAAAATGAATTATGTAGTTATAAAAATCAGGAGCTGCCCTTTCTTCTCTTTTATAGATTATTGACCCTAAGATGCCTCGTGTTGCTGGCCATCACAACGGTGTTACTATACCAGTGCCACCTCTGGATGTACTGAAAATTGGAGAACAAATGCAGACCAAATCAGATGAGAAACTGTTCTTAGTACTATTTTTTGACAATAAAAGAAGTTGGTATGTTATTGAAATGTATTGTCTGCTGCAGTGACTTAAAATTTTAAAAGCCTGTACCTTTAGTCTAAAAGAAAATTGAAACATTCTCTTTCCATGGATACTTTTCCTATTGAAGTATCAATTGTAATGTTAAAATTTCATATTTGAGTCTGTTCTCTGACCAAGGCACCTTTGGAAGAAAATAATATAAGTTGTTCAATAGTGTTTTGGTTTGATTTACAAGCTAGTTTCATTTATTGACCTGATGAGATTGCTTCTTTGGCTAAACAGATTTATTTAAAGGTAGTAGCCTTCATCTGTATGAGCCATCGTCATTGCTTTCTGAATGACACACTTCCTCCCCCCCCCCCCCCAGTCTGCTCAAGTGCATTTTCTTGAAATCTTTAAGCTCTTTAGTTGAATGCTTTATTAACACTCTCATTTGAAGTTCTTAGTCCTTTCTGAATTTTTTCATTAAACCTTCCATTTTTCCATTTCTTTCAGTATCAGCAATATGCTGTGTGGAGCTTGAAGGGTTAAGTAACATAATAAAACATTCTTTTCCCCATCCACTAGCGCTTTTTTTTTTTGTTTGTTAGGGTTTTTGGTGTATTTTGGTTTGGTTGGGTGGTTGCCAGGTACAGAAGCTTTTCATCTGCATCTTTCTTCTTTTCATCAAATTATATATTTCTTTCCTATGTTGTTCTTAATCTGTTTCTGAGTCTCCACACAGATCAAGCTAGCTTTAAATCTTATACCTGTTTTACTGTTGAATTTGCTTACATTTTCAGATATCATTTTCCTCTTTAGCTGATTATATGTGATGTCTGGAAATGCTGCCATTCTCCTAACTGTCTCTGTCAAATTCACCTAACTACCTTCTTGCCTGAAATTTGGAACTGATGTTTGCTTTTCTGTCCCTACAGATCCTTTGGCATAATCACAGTTGTTTGGCTTGCTCTCTCTGTTCTTCAATTCTTTTCTTAATTAATTGGTACTTCTTCATGGAGGCCTGTGTCTAGTAGAGTCCCTCAGGGGTCGGTGCAGGGACCAGTACTACTCAATATATTCATCAAT